CTTGTTTTCCTGCGGAGCCTTAACTTGCACATTGTATTCCCTGTGCCTGTAATACCGTTTCTTTCCTTTTGCAGATGGGGAAAACCTATACATCTTTCAACGTTCAGATAACATGTCTGAGTCTTCTTTAATCAGAGTGAATCATTTCCTCCTCTGTGCATTCACAACTCCTAATACCTCACTTTGATACACTGGTTTATAATACTAGCTCCACGTGTTAAATCCCACACATTGCCAAAAGCTCCCTCTCCATGTGACATCCAGTATGCTCCTTCTATTCTTCATTCTTGCAAATAGCACCTCCACCTGCCCGAGGTAGATAGTGAACATCACCGTCTACCTGATTTTAAAGGTGTTATCAAACCTAATTAATTGTACCTCCTAAATATTTCTTACATTTATCTCTCCTTTTGCCTCATCATTACCCTAGGTTAGTATTTCTTCCTTCTACCACTGCGTTTGTTTTTTTATCTAAGCTATCCACCTCCAGGCTCCAATTCCTCCTGCCTCTGGGGAGGCATTATAGCAGGAGTAATTGCATGGAGTCTCCTACCTGATGACCTTGATTTGGATCTCAGTGTTTCCCCTTAACGTGCACATAGCTTAGTAAAAGAAGAAATGCTAGTACTCACCTTTTAGTTTGCTGTGAAAATAAAATGCAGTAACGCGTAATGTGCCTAGAATAATACCACGCATGGAATAAGAACTTTGAAAGGGTCAATAATTTTCATTATTCCTCCAGCACCTGTGCTACCTTGAGAATGATTTTCAAGTCTGCTTTTTTGCAAATATGATAATATCCCTCCCCTGGAAAAATGCTTCTCAGACTTCCTGTGGCCTGTGAAATTTAGTGAGATTTGTAGGACCCTCCATGATCTGCTGGGGACTCCCCCCACCCCCCACCAGCCTTCTCTCTTCTTCTTTCACAATACCCTGCGCTGCAGACAAGAGGAGCCACCAGCTCTCCCCCTGCTGCTTATTCTTCAGCCTCTTTTTCTGGTGGTTGTCTCCCTAGGGGACATTTACCCTCCATCCACTTGAACTGATTCTAGTTTATGTTTCAACTCTGTTCCTAAGTCCAATTCACTATCTGAGGGGCCCAGGGAAACAAACAAACAACAAATAGATTTCAAACATGCTAACAAATATATTTGGATTTAAAGTTTTATATAACATTATTTGTAGGTTATAAGACGGGATGGTTATTTGGGACTTTTCTTTTTTGTCCCATTGTTGCCATCATCCTGTGCAAGTTTCTACTGAACGAACCACCAGACAGGTCCATGACCTAGGCTTTCTCCAACTAAACATCTTTTGGTTTTGAGTATTCAGAATAATATCTTTGTTGAATGACAGATTTCAGACATGCCTACTTAAAAATCTCAAATTTCTTAAGAATTTTATAAATTTAATCAATTTGGATCAAGTAGGGATTAAAGAAATTTGGGGCTGTGACCCTTTTAATGATTAACATTAATTCAACACATTATCATCCCTTCTCTCTTGTCCCTGAGAACACACAAAAATGAGAGAGATTAAAAAAAAATCTCTGTCCTTAAATTGCAAATGCTGATAAGGAGATGGGCACATTAAGCCACATGCTGAAAGGAATGATGAATGTTTCAATAGTACATGGCCTGATACGGGAACAGAGAGTGGGAAGGCATTAACAACTCTGCATACAGGTGAAGGTGAAATCCATGTAGACCAGGGAAGGATAAGCAAGACTTCCTTGTACATGAGTATAAACTTACTAGTAGGTTGTTTGAATTTGTTAGGTCAAATTGGCTTTTAATTGAAAGGCACTGCCATGCTGGAGACATTTTCAGGTGGAGGTTGATGGTTGTGGAGTATACCCTGGTGGGGCTCAGGTAGACTTATCTGGTCTCTCCAACAGCACACCCTCATGATCAAGTCTCCTCCTTAGCCCTCTGAAGCATGTAAACAATGCCCTAAGTGCGCTGAGGTCAGACCACCTCTGTTGAACTACAAACACATCTTCAAACTATCAGCTAAGTAATCCATCAATTTTCCTTAATTTTCTCAAACCTGCACCCTATCTCTTCTTTTTCTGTGTTCTGCCACTAATCTTGGGTAATATTTCTTAAATAAGCAAGCTCCCTTCCATGTGTAACTATCTCAGGATAACAGTCCTTTTAAAAAAAAATAAGTAGTAGTTTAATTTTGATTTGGACAATACTGAAGGAAACATTTCATTAGAGTGTCCTACAAATGTAGATTTTTAGAACATCTTAGGCCATCTATTTAACTTGTGGACCTCAGTCTGCTTCCCCTGTATCATGGGTGATATTTTTATTGTCCTCATAGTTAGGTATGCAATATTTGTTATATATATATTGTGAAACTTTCATAGAAGCCAAATTATTTACACCTAAAAATTTGAAAGGACTTAATATTTGAAACCACATTTAGCTTAGTATTATGTAGCTATTGGGCAGCTGTAATAAATTTAACATAGAAAGGCAAAACTTGGTCACTGTATGTATTCCTTCATTCTCACATTGCTATGAAGAAATACCTGCGATTGGGCAATGTATAAAGAAAAGAGTTTAGTTGGCTTACAGCTCTGCAGCAATACAGGAAGCATGACAGAGTCTGCTGCTGGGGAGGCCTCGGGGAGCTTTCACTTGTGACTGAAGGCATGGTGGAAGCAGGTGTCTTCCATGGCAGGAGAAGACCAAGAGAGCCTGCAGAGAATTGCCACGCACTTTTAAACAACCAGATCCCTCAAAAACTCACTATCGAGAGGACAGCACCAATGGAGATGGTGTTAAACTATGAGAAATGCACCCCCATGACCCAATCACCTCCCCCCAGGCCCTACCCACAACATTGGGGATTACACTTGCCCATGAGATTGGGGTAGGGACGCAGATCCAAACCATATCACTGTATATAAATATGCATTTTAAACAACTAGGATCACTGTTTTTAGGACATATAGTGTGGTCTATTTATATATCTTAAAAAGCATATCTGATAACCAAAGCTTATTTTATGTCCACGTGACTAGCCAGTAGTGACACTTGAAGTACACAGGAAGAAAAGACTTCCTCATTTTTGAGCCTTGGGGGCTAAAGTTTTAACCTAAGGTTTGCATCTGCTTAAGCTGTCCTCTTTGCACATCTTCCCTGGAGGAGTGTCTGCTGGGTACAGAGGATTCTGGCCCCAGGCCATGCTCCTTTACAAGGAGTGCAAGCACTGCAGCCCCTTGGGCTAGGGGAGGATGATGTGACCTCCAATGGAGGGAAAAGCGAGGCAGAAGGGAAACTTGCAAGGAAATCATGAAAAGTCTACATTTGTAGGACACCCTAATGAAATGTTTCCTTCAGTATTATCTGTGAGAAGAAATATAAGTTCTTCCCCCAGGCCCTCTCGCACATTTAGAAGACAAACTAACACAGCTCCCTTAGCTAAATATTTATCTGACAGAGACTGAGAGTTTGAAAGAATAGCTCAAAAGAAACTATCACAGTGGAAGAAAGTGAGCTGGGAATTTAATCCTAAATCCTTGATCACCCCGCAACCCAGCAGGTGTGGCTCATGAAGATTACATTAGTTGAGAAAAATAAATATGTAAAAAATAAATATGTAGAATTTCACTGTACAGCTGAGTTATGTGAATACATTTATAATCCTGTTATACCTGTGTTAAGCCCTTTTCCAGCCTGGGCAACTCAGGGAGACCCTGGCCCTACAAATAAGTAAATAAATAGCCAAGTGTGATAGTGCACATCTCTAGTCCCAGCTACTTGGGGGGTTGAGGTGAGAGAATCCCTTGAGCCAGGAGGTAGGGGTCGCAGTGAGTTGTGATTGCACCACTGCACTGTGGCACAGGTGACAAAGCAAGACCTTGTCTCAAAAAGTAATAAAAATAAAATAAATACCCTCCTAAACCCCAACCTCTTGTCAATGAATCCAAGCCAGGCACTCAGCATTGGGATTCATCTGCTAACACAGACCTGGGCCCCTGTTACCCCTGGGTGAATTATGGGGCATCTGTCTGCTCAGCCAGTTCAGAAAAACTAACTAGAATATCCTTTTTCCTGTCTCCCAGCTTCTGTGTAACCTGATTTCCCTCCCATGCTTGCTCATCCCCATCAATGAAGACCTGCCCTGAACTACCCCACATAACCCACTGCCTGCTTCCTAAGGATGCCATCTCCCTAAGGACTGGCCTTGCTCATCGTGTTCACAGATGATGTCTAAGAGATATGGTTTCACCAGGCATTCAAGAGACTGCGCTGCTCAACAAAATATTGCTGCTTCCTGGGAAACCCCCACCACACCTGTGGCAGCCCAGATAAGACCAACAGTAGCTCTGCCTTCTTGAATGCTCTAAATGGGCTTACTGATTTTCTGGAGCCAAAATGAGCTTGACTTTAAACATCAGGTAGTTTAGTTTGTATTATGTCAAATTTTGGGTTTATAATCTCATTTAAATTTCACAAAACTCTATGACCTAAATACTTACATATTCCCATTATAAAGATAAGAAAGTTGAAGTTTAGAGAGTGTATGTTTGTGTCACCCACCCTCAAATTCATCTGTAGAACCCTTAAACACCAATGTGATGGCATTTGAAGGTGGGGGCCTTTGGAAGGTAATTAGGCTTAAATGACATCGTAGGGGTGGAGTCACCATAATGAGATTTGTGTTCTTACAAGAAGAGAAAAGCCTGAGCTCACTTTCTCTCCCGGTGAGGACATAAGAAGACTGCTGTCTTCAAACCAGCAGCATAGTCCTCACCAAAACCAAGCCATATGGGCACCCTGATCACAGACTTCCCAGCCTTCAAAGAAATAAATGTTTGTTGTTGAAGCCACCCAGTCTGTGGTATTTTGTTAAGGCAACCCTAGAAGACTGAGCAGAGAGGCTAAGTAATTTGCTCGTGGTTATTCTACCGATAAGTGGTAGTGAACCTAAATGTGAAAGCAGTTGTCTGACTCCAAACCTGAATCTATAACCATGATACTTACCTGCCTTTCCTGTGGCCCAGTGGTTTCCCATGACATTGGGCCCTCAGTCTGTGACGTATCCTATAAGTAAGGGACTGGCTTTACATTGGCCCCAACTGAACTCTGGAATGCTGCAGGCACTGCAAATATTTCCCTGGAAGGAAGAGAATAAACCAATGTGATGACTTTTGCTTGCTTCATGGAGCTCTGGAATAACTGTGATAGTCCTGTGTTTTACTTGCTCAGATGGGCAGAAATGGACAGAGCTTCCCCATGGGGTAAATATTCCCTAGGTGGAAATAATTATGACCACTTTGCAACCCTTAAGAAAATTTGACTGTACCAGAAACTTGGCTCTCAATCAAATATCCATTTGCTTACTGTCTGACTCCCTCACTAGCATGGGATCTCCATGAGCACAAACAGTTTGTTTTGTTCAGTGCTGTGTCCCTGGTACTGAGAACAGTGCTTTCCACTGGGTGGCTACTCGGTCCATGTTCTTGAAAAGTGAATCCCTGTCTTCCCTGAGAGACAGGAACTTGATTCGAATCCCTCAAGTTAAAATGTTAGAAGGAGACCTTCAGACACTTAAAGTTACAATGCACAGGGTAGTGTGGGCGATTGGCCACACTCACACTCAGGGTGAGTCTGAGCTGAATGTGGTTAGAATCCAGGACCATCCAGACCTAGAGCCAAGACAAGGGGCAGGAGTGGGGGCAACACAGCATGGAGCGGAGCTGGGATGGAGAGTCGGAGCCAGGCTGCAGGGTTGGGGGAGGAGCAGAACTGAGGTCTCAAAAAGCCCCGAATAGTACCACATTCTGAGTCACTGCAGGGAAGGCAAAGTTCAAGAATTCCCTCTAGATTTCACCTCATTCCCTGGAAAAGAGGTTATCAAAGAGTTCAGCAATGAAATACGATAATATGTATCGCATATGTAGTGTGTGCACGGCCCCGAGCTGAGCACTCACATGGATTGGTTCATTTAATCCTTACACCGACAACTGATCTAGCCAGAGACTGAGCCATCGAAGTTATCCAGGAAGCCACAGAGCCTGGATTTGAACCCAGAAGACTAGCTCTGGGGCTGCAGCTCTTCATGAATGATGAGGTCTCAGGGGGGTGGTATCTATCCAGAGTCCTACAAGAGAGTGCCGGTCAGATGAAATGTTGATGGTAATTTAGACCAGTGATGTCACAATATCAGCTGGTGGTTGAGAAAACAAGGGTTTTATACACACGATGAAAATAAAGTTTTCCCCAAATTCTCAAAGTCTGAGTCACGCCTGCCTTTGTAGGGTTTCTTCCCTTTTTGGAATATCATGCATAAGGGCAATTGTGTAGGGAGCTTGGGACACCTGTCTGTGTCAGGAGCTTGACTTCACTGAGCACAAAGGCACCCAACCTCTCATGCAACAGACACCACAGGAAGCACATTGAATGCCCAGGTGACTAAGACACAGCCCTGCCCTCAAGATGCTCTCAGGGCAGCCCTGCATTTTCCTCCCTCATCCAAATGGCCAGGGCAATAGAAAATCTGCACTTGCAAAAAGATGTCATCTTATTTCTACAGGGATCTTTGAACACCAAAATTTTCTATTTTAAAATGTTAAATCAGAAACCAAAGAGTCTTTGCTAGGGTGGCTCATGTCTGTAATCTCAACATTTTGGGAGGCTAGGGTAGGAATATCGCTTAGGAGTTTGAGACCAGCCTGGGCAACAGAGACTTTGACTCAAAAAAAAAAAAAAAAAAAAAAAAACTTAATAATTAGTCTTGCATGATGATGCATACCTGTGGTTTCAGTTACTTGGGAGGCTGGTGGGAGGATTGCTTGAGCCCGGGAGGTTGAGGCTGCACTGAGCTGTGATTGCATAACTACACTCCAGCCTGGGCAACAAAGCAAGACCCTGCCTCAAAAATAAACAAAAAATATTTACCAAAACCTACTGAAGGGCTTTCTTCTACCACAAATATATATGAGACCACACACACACACACACACACACACACACGGCAGGCACAAAAGCCACCTTGCCTAATATGCATTTAAGCCTGAGAAAAGGATCATGCTCGAGTAGACTTAGAAATAAGACTGCCTAGTAACAACTACAAATAAGACTTCTCTTTTTATAGGAAACACAAAATTAAAGCTTAAAGCCCAGTCATATATAATTGAGATGAATACCTTTTAGACACTGTTTTTCCTATGAGGCACTGCTCGAAATCCCCTGCCAGCTGGCTGGGTGTGTGTGTGAAAATATTTCAGGAGTTGCCCCTGCACCAGACATTTTTCTCAGCATTGCTTGTGGCTCACGGCCACGCTGCCCGGCACCTGCAGGATCAGTCAGTTTGCACAAGCAGCTTCCCAAGTGAATGACGTACCTCCCCTTTCTGTTGTTCCCAAAGACCAACATCTGTCAGAGATCAGCATATGCATCCGAGTATTAAAGCGCTCACTGTTCTAAGGCCCTGCACTTAATTTTCCCTTGGGTAAACAGAGCCAATAATGGATAAATACTGAAGGATCAAATATCCTTAAACTATCGGAGTAAGCTGTGAGTGCAGACTTTAATCCACATCAGAAGTGAGAAAAAAGAGAAAGCAAAAAGCTATAACAGAGGCTCTCCAAATCGAGTGAGGAACTCAGGACAGAGTTCATGCCACTGGCTGTGGAATATCTTGGGAAACATCTCCGTGAATGGCCATGGGAAGGGCAGTTAGGACCCTATGACTAAGTGCATTTAAATGTCAAATAACAGTGTGAACCAGACAAATGATCTTTGCACTTTTCAGAAATCAATAGCAGAAGGTCTTGCTGGCATCCTCCAAGCAGAGTCAACCTGAAAATCTCTGTAACCATACACCAAAAAGATTTCTACAAATGTCCTACTAATTGCATTTTGAGGCGAGTCCCTCTAGGAAGATTAACTTTGGACAGGCTGACAGTGTCGGCCTTTAAGGACACGATTGGCCTCCTAATGACTAAGCTGTCCCCTAGAGGAAGCACACAGCTCAAGTTTACCTTTTAAGTGTAAACTTCTGAGGATGAACCTTCCAGCCTCTCTGGAATTCTTGGTCTAATACAAGAACATGATGTATTTTATACAGTTCCATACACTCTTTTTTCTTAAAAGAATTCTTTCAACCTTTGAGACAATTTTGCTTAAAAAGATTATCCTATCCAAACTTTACCTCTTTACCATATGCAGCCACAAAATTATTTTCTGATTTTCTTTAGAAACTAAAAACATTCAGTCTTTCAGATTAGAAATTTCTTTCTTGTAACATAAAATAGTTAGAGATGTGTCCTTATTACTTATAAAGAGTACATAAATCAATCTGGCCAAGGACTGATATTCATCATAGCCATGTGTCTGTCTGGCCGAAACCATCCAGGTCTACTTTTGAATTATCCCTATTTGGAAACTTCACAACAAGGTTAAATACATGGCTGATGGCTTTGGTAGTAAGGCGCTACTAGTAAAGCAGGAGAAACTCCAAGTGAGATGCTCCTGGGAAAGCGGGCTAGCATTATCCACAGGAGAGCCACAAATGTGTCTACACTGAACTGTCATCCACCTTCAAAATTGCTGCCACATCCAGACAGTTGCCATGAGCTCTTTCCTGTAGGAGACGGGGCATCTGTTCCCATTCAGCCTTGTCTGTAAAACACTTGGATGACCTGCAGAATGGACAAAGTAAAATATCTCCTACACCTCAGTAAGAGAAGCAGGATAGCCCATCCACCTGGAAGGCAATAAAGAATTTGGTCTAATCCAAAGAAAGATTTGGTCTAATGCAGGAAGTTGAGTCCCCTATTATCTCGTTTGCAAGAATGAGCTGTTGGTAAAATGCTGAAGGAAAACAGAAAATGTGGACAGCAGCTCTGAAGAACTATTATCACATTTATTTTCCAATGGATTAAAAAGTGATTGAGCCTTGAGAAGTCAATGAATAAACCACAACACATAGAACCTATAAATAATATATGAGCTGCATACATAACCAATGGGTTAAAGCTGCTTTAGTAAGATGACTAATAACCAAGAAGGCAAAGAGAGAAAGAAAGAAAGAAAGAAAGAAAGAAAGAAAGAAAGAAAGAAAGAAAGAAAGAAAGGGAGAAAGAGAGAAAGAGAGAAAGAGAGAAAGAGAGAAAGAGAGAAAGAAAGAAAGAAAGAAAGAAAGAAAGAAAGAAAGAAAGAAAGAAAGAAAGAAAGAAAGAAAGAAAGAAAAAGAAGGAAAATCATTGTTATTAGTGAAAGCTCTTCATTCTTTTTGCTAATGTTTTTGCAAAGGTCGCTAACATTTCTGTAGTGAAGACAAACCAGGGAACAAGCATATGAGTTTGAGGCAATGGCCATATGACTTCGTCATTTTGAAGACCATTTGACAACATTTCTCCTTTTGTAATTGCGTGACTTCAAGTACTTGTTAATTGCTTTCCTGGCAAATTTATTTCTGTGTTTCCATATTCCTCAGAACAAGAGACCTTCAAGTCTAGTCTTGCGCATGAAAATATCACATGTGATATTTTCTCATGTGATAGTCACATTTAATCTGCAAGTCGAGTATTATTATTTTAAATGAGCAAAGTAAAGTCTTTTTGAGGCTAGAAAAAATGCTTGTAGACAGAATATAGTGTTAGACTTCTAACACAGATGGATCTGAACTCCAACTAGTTTAATACATTCTGCTGTCCCCTTCTTTAAAAAGCAGACAGAAAAGCAGATTCCTGCCTTTTTACCACCAAGAGCTTCTTTTTAATTTTTCATTTCTTTTTCATCGGACCCAAGTTTTGGTAGAATTTTGACCAGCAAACAAATGATGAAAATTAAATCACAACTACTTCTCTAATTGTTTTCACAGAAAACATTCATCAAAATAAGAGCATATGACCAACATGAGGTAATACTGAGCCATCATTTCATTCAAAGGGGTTTCAGAAAGATATTCTTGGTAGTCTATTCAAGGAACAGAATAACAGAGTTTACATGTTTCATCTCTATCATTAGGCTTTTTAGAATGTTAAAAAGAGCCATCCGGTGGGCCTCTGAAACTCCAGGGATCAGTGGTCTCTAACTTACCATCAGAAGACACTAGATTCTGTGTTTTTAAATAACAGAAGCAGGTGACGTGATTGTGCTGTTCGTGAGAAAGCATTACCTTGAGGCAGAAATCCTTTCATATACCAGGCTAAATCCCTCCTGCTCCAGTGTAAACCCATTTCCTTTTCTGGCCTCTGGAGAAAGGGGAACAGCTGCTGGGTGTCTTTTAACTCTTCCTCTGTGGCCCAGGGGGCTGGGTCACTTTATTGTCAGTGTACCACATTGTGAGCCATGTCGAACAGATTCCTAACGAACTTTAGGTTTGTTATCCCCACTCATTTCCCAACATATTTTCCCGGTTTTCTTTTTGCTGTGCAAGTAGGGATTTAGATTCTGGGGATCCGGACATAAAAGCTTTAGACTCCGGAAGTATCTCACAGGACTGCTTGTATTCTTCATGTAGCAGCAGGCTGGAGGAGAATGAAAATCTGACACCA